AGTTACTTATTAAAATTGATACAATTGTATGTTTTAAATTTTAGTCTTATATAAACATAAATGTAGGAGCCAGTGGCACCCTTACTTACATTTGCTTCTGTTTCTGATTTTTTTATTAGTTTCGTACCCTTTACAGTTTCATCAGTTTCGTCAGTTTTGTCACCTTTTATCAGTTTCATCACCTTTCATCAGTTTCGTCACCTTTCGTCAGTTTCGTCACCTTTCGTCATTTGAGATTTTAGTTGACGAAAGATGGAACTAGGTTTCGCATTTCGTTAACGCGAAACCTCAAGGTTTCGTCTAACAACTATATCTCCGATGTGATTAATTAGTGATTATAATGGTGCTCATTTAATAGAATTAATTGAAATAAACATTGCAATCGATATTTGAGCGGTCCTTTTATTATTTGTCAAAAATAAAAAAAAATAAAAAAAAAAATAAAAAAACAAAAAAACAAAACCAACCGTTAAATAAGAAGTAAATGCTGTGAATTATTGAAAATATTCTGACGAGCATCCATTTTTTATGAATCTATTAGTTGTAAATAAAGTTGCTGTTGAATACAAAGAGTGTTATTCGCATATTTACTTAGAAATATAAGATTTTTTTATTATTCATAAAACGTTTAGTGTGAGAAGTAAAATAATAATTCATCGCTAAATGTGATAATCCATGGCAATGTTACTTTTGTGGTCTTTTTGAAAATTCAATTAATTGTAAAATTTTTAAGAGAGGTATAAAAAAAAGGTGGTTTGTTGTAAAAAGTTTGTTGACAGTCTTTTTTATTAATAAAAGGATGTTCTCAAGCCCCATACTTGATGTAATAAGCTAGTGATTGCAATAGTGCTCAACTATAATTATATTTGCATAAAATTTTTGTTGACAATTTGTATATGAAAATAGTAACGTAATTGATAATTTCTCAAGCAACAACTTCAATATAATTAATTAGTGGTGCTCATTTAATACAATTGATCAAAATAATGATTGCAATTGATACTTGAGCATTCTTAGTATTCTAATTATCAAAATGACATCGTCAAAAATTAATAAACCAAAAAATAAAGGAAAAAAGAAAGTTAACCAACAAGTAATAGATGCCACTGACCTTCGACAACAAGCTAGTGAAGCAACAACTTTAGCTGTTTCTATTTCTCCATTTACTGATTTCACCAACTTTAACATGTTATTTCAGTTGCAATATCCTGTCATGCCATTTTTTATAAATCCGCTGGCTAATAATATTATTGCCAAACATAAAAAAGTATTTATTATATGTTTATTTATAAGTGCAATTATAATTGATATATGTAATAATAGGTATTGTTTTTATATTTCTTATTAATTAATTTTGTAAAAGCTATTTTCGCCAAAGGCTTTAAATACCAAATCTGAATTTGCTTTGGAGTCAATTTCTGATGATGATGGTTCAGTTTCAAATACAATTTCTACTTCTTCTGTAACATCGAATCGCAAATCAGCAACTAGATGGTCTTCATCAGAAACACAAATATTAATTCAAGAAGTAGGAAACCAGTATAAAGCATTACAGCAGTCAAGAGACCCAAGAGAAAAGGATCATGTTTGGGATAGAATTGTCTCAAGCATTCAATTCTCTGCTGCAAGCTCAACATTGAAAAATCATTTAAAAATCTCCATTTAGCAAAAATGGGATTCTATTCTTCAAAAATATCAAAGCATTAAGAATGTTATTAAAAATACGAGTGAAGAAGCTATACAAAATGAGTGGGAGTTCTTTAATGATATCAAAGTTTATATGAAGGATGATCCAAGCATTACTGCAGTTGTTACTAGCAATTCAATTCATGGAATTAAGCGTTACAATTATAGTGATAATAAGATAATATAACTGTATATTTATTTATTTATTATTATTGTTATATAAATTTATGTTTAATAAATTGTAGATCGATTCTAATTCTAAAAGAAAAAAAGCACACATAATGGTAATAATAATGAAAAAAAATATATTGATAATGTTTTAACTCATATTGACAAGCAAACAGAAATAATTGTCAAAACAATAAAGGGTCAATATTTACATGCTAATAAGGTTCAGCAAAAACAGCATAGTGATCAAATGGAAATCTTTAAGCAATTTCTTGCAAAATTTTAAAGGATTATTTGTTAACAATTAAACTAGACGTGCGTGTCATAAAAGAAATAAAATAGCTAATCACATCAACAATATAATATAATTTATATATTTAAATCAAAGAGTTATAGATTTTTAAACATTGTAATGTATATATTTTTTAAAAAAAAAATTAAAGAAAATGGTTAAATAATTCTATATTTATATGTCCAATAGTCTATAGATCACATGTTAGACATCAGTTAACGAAGTTTATATCAATTAACTATTACATTATACTTTGCTATTACACTTTATAAAAAGAAACTTCTTTGATTAAATCCTTATATTTAATAGCTTTAAGTTGGAATTCTTTAATATATTCATTAATTTTTTTATTTTAACCATTTTTTAAATGCTTTGATCTTAATTTCATATATTCACGAAATAGTAATATAAAAAAATACAATAATATTAAAAGAAATCATAATAATAAATATTATACATTTTGTATTAGAAGATTTGCCAAATAATCACTTTTTTGCATACCTGCTATTCTTTTCCTTCCTATATTCATAATAAATTAATCTTCACCTTCATCATTAATTAATTCATTATCTTCACCTTCATAATTATTATTATTAACCCCATCATCTTCATATAAATTGTTTCTATCAATACAAAAGTTGTATAAAATACAACAAGCATGGATTATTCGAATAATTCGTTCTAAATCCATACAATATACTCTATATAAAAGAATTCTCCATCTTCCTTTTAAAAATCCAAATGCTCTTTCGACACTTATTCTTATTGAAGAAAGAATCTTATTAAATTGTCGTTCTTGATTAGTTAATGATTCATGATCAGGAAATGGTTTCATTAAATAAGTTTTAAGTAGATATGCTGAGTCTGCAATAATATAAGAACCTCCTAAAACCTATTGTTCAGGATTATGAAAAATCTTATAATAAAGAGAAGAATGGTAAAATACACATGCATCATATACACTCCCTTTTTAAAATAAATTTTTAATAAATTTAATTGAATAAATTAAAAATATACAGCCCTTGCTATAGTCACACTAATTATAATTGCAACTTTTTAAAAATATATTAATTTAACCTTCTTATAAACATAACCTTATTATAATCGCCTTTGCTTTTGGCTCAAGTGTGATTATAGCTAGGGCTAATCATATATATATATATATATAATATTAATATAATTTACTGACCTGCCTCACCAACGTGTATATATGTAAACCATCCTCTACTATCCACAACTCCAAGAAGATTAATTGAATGAAAACTCTTATGATTTATATAATGTGAGCTATTTTTAGTAGGTGGGTGAATAGGTATATGGGACCCATCCATCGCACCAATAACATTAGGTAAATTATGTTTCAAACCAGTTATTCTATGCTTAAATTTTTGGATAACTGTTGTTAATTGTACCCTTGCGGCTATTTGATCCTTTCTTGCTTCACACCCAACAGTGCATCCAAGAATCGATCTGTAAAATGTATAACTGACCCTTGGCTTACACCAAGTGTCTTTCTAAAACCTGCACACCAACCCATTAGCTAATCGCTATTAAACAATAGCAATTTGCTTCCATACAGGAGTTGCATTAAAAGCTTCAGACCTAAAGGCAAAATGTGTCTCTAATTGAGAAACAATTGCATTAAATATTGAAAGAGTGATATAAAAGTGTTACCAGAAAGAATTATAACCCTTATTATCAGTTAAGTATAGAAAAACATCGATCCAAAATCCATTAGTTTTGAGTCTAAATTGATATTGGGTTGTTGTACCAAATGAAGAAATTATTGATGGAATAGTTGAATTCGTTGTCATATGAGTAAAGGCTAAAAGGTGGTAAGCATTTACAATTTTATTTCATGTCTTCTTATATTTTTTATTTTCCATGAAAACTTTTAGTATAAGTAGTAAAATAATAATTCATCGACATCAATCCATGATACCATAGTGCACTGACCAAAGTACCACCCTTTTTGAGTACCCCCGTGTGAAGTACCCGGGTATTTTGCATAGCACTTTTTTTTTGCCAAGAATAATACCCGGGTATTTTATAATTATTGAGGGCAGGATTTTTGTATTAGACCCAGGTATTTTATATTGTACAATACCTAATATAACAACATTACCAAATGAATGCTATTATAAAATATTTAATACTTGAAAGCTATCAATATACCAATTTTTCAATAATAATAGTACACACCCAATTTCGAATTTTAATAACTCTTAATATGAACAACCAGAAAACGCGAAAGTATCAACATTTGACATTATAACAGTTCCTATTGAAGGAATAACTTGCGAATCTTGTGTAAATTCTATAACAAATGCAGTTTGAAATATCGTATAACAGGTAACAAAGTGGTGGCAGAAAAAATTTGCAGTGATGTGATCGTTGAATAATTTTTTTAACATAGTATGTAATTTGTATGAATTAATATGTAATTTGTTTTATCAGGTCAGAAGTAGCCAGTAATCACGTCACCACGAATTTTTTTGCTACCACTTTTTTTTTTGTTATTTTAAAATAATTTAGAAATTATATGAGCAAAATACAAAATTGATTTTATTCAATTCGATTATTTAAGAAAAAAAAAATTGCATTTTTTTTTTTATTTGCTTACAATTCTATATTAAAATTTCCAGATTTTCGGTTCATTAATTCCAATTTTGAATGACCGTTAAATCTTCGCTTTCTTTATAGTAATCATCATAAACTAACCCACTTTCATTTTCATTCATGTCTTCTCCATCTATATTATTTTCACTATCGGGTTCACCATTGCTTTCATTATTATTTTCACTGTTATTTTCATCATCATCATCATCATTTCGTTCCTCAATTTCTCTTCCTGAATTTATTTGGCTCGTGAGTCTTGTAAAGTCTAAAATTAAATCGTCTTCGGTTCCATCCATTGCGTTAGAGATTCTACAACATTTAAAGGACTTCCTAATCATATTAATATCGATGGCTTCCCAAGCCTCTTTTACCCAAGTAGCAACCAAAAGATAAGAGAGACGTTTCATTTTGCCAGCTTTAGTATATTCTTTAATTCCTTCATCCATCTATTGACTATAAAGATTTCGCATCTATTAAAAAAAAAACTTTTTAATTTAATAATTTTTTTTTTTTACTTCTCTATTTATTAGATTTTATCTTTGATTTAAACGATTTATTCATAGAGACATTAAGAGGTTGTAAGCGAGATGTTAAACCTTTAGGAATTAAAGCCAAGTCAGTATTCTTCTCCCAAAAATGTCGTTTTACAGGGTCTGTTTTGTAGCCGGCAAATAAATCCAAGATTAACAAAGAACACAGATTATTTCCACATTGTGCTCGTCGGGTCCAAATATTTTCTATCCACCTAAAGATAAGTAAATTTTAGTCTTAACTGTAACATGCATTATAATTATCTAAGTTTTTATACATACCATAACATCTTGTTTTCGTTCATCCATCCTGAAGGGTTTGCACGTATGATAACACTATCAGGAAAATTTTTACAAGATACTTTAACCAATTTAAAGATAATTAGAGGTGGCAATTTAGTTCTATCGGCTATACAGACGAGAACAATAGTGAAATTCAAACATTTGTGCCCAGTTGATAGAATTGATATAGTTTTAATACCTCGTTGTTCAATCGTAGTATTACTTGACATACTAAAAAACATAGCAGTTTCATCCATGTTACCAATTAAGGATAAAGGATAGTCATTTTTACACCGCTTAAAAAGTACAAGAGACAAAAACTCATTTTGATTCTTAATATAACTCTCAGGAAGACATTGGACAATGGTAGTCTATCTTCGATTTACCAAATTATTTCTAAACATAAATCTGTCTACCCATTTTTGAGAAAATTTATTATTCTGAATTTCTCCATATTTTTCTTGATATTGAGATGTAGCGTACAATGTGTGAGCTTTGGCTTGAATCATATACCGGCTTACAGTTTTTTGCTGAGATTTTGCTTCTTGAAACTATTCAAGTAATTCAGCTTCAAGTTCAGGATATTTTGGCCAGGCCCCAGGTGACAACTTTTGAATGTAAGGTGCAACTTTCAAAAGGTCAGGTTTTTTGCTTATCCAGTCCCGAGGCTGCTTTCTTTCTATTCCAAATTCATTAGCAGTTGAATGTTTACTATGCCCTTTTTCATAGTAGACAACTATCATTAGTTTTTCACATACTGTCCATGCTCTTTTATTTTTTTTTTGTTACCCGAGCACGTCGAGCTTTAAAATTTCCACGGGCCATTCTGTTTCTTGAAAATAGTTTGTGCTGGTGCAGTTATTCGATAAGTAATCTTCTTTTAACAAGTTATTTCCTGGATGTAAGTCTTGATGTAAATATCTTTTATGAGTTTGTTTAGTTTGCCGGTAATTGCTGGTGGTAGAGTTACTGCAAAGAGCTTCTGCTAATACCTTGCTCCTTCTGCGAAAATACTTTAGTTTCGGCAGTTTTTTATTTTTATTTATTTATTTATTGGTTTTTTATTTATTTATTTTTATTTATTTAATTTGGACCCAAGGGCCACAAGCTAACAGTAATGTTTCGTTACTTTGTCCCAATAGTTAAAGAAATTTAAGAAGACATATATACATATGTACATACGTGAAGTTCATTGATTTTCTTTTATATCGACTTGTATTACTTAAAATATGTCGTGTATAATACCCCCAATACAAAATACCCCCTAGCAAAAAACCCCCATATGCAAGATACCCATTACCGATCAAGAGACCCACGGGTATTTTATAAGTTTTTTTTTGGTTAGATTGTTTTAGACCCGGGGTACTTTGGTTAGTGCACTACAGTAGTTACTTGAGCGATTTCTTTGAATGCTTAATTAATTGCAATTTTTGCCAAGCCAGAGATACAGTAAAAAAAAGATGGTTTGTTGTAAAATAATTGTAAATTGAAATGAAAAACACATGTAATATTTTTTATTAATAAAAATAATTTTAATTATATAATAAACTTTATTAAACTCGATGATTATTTAAATCGTCACTACGATAATAAATACAATTGACCCCTTAAAATATTTTTTGCTAAGTAAAATTTATTCACTAACACTTTTTTATCTATTGATTAAGGCGTTTGAGAATGCCCAAAATGTTATATTTACATAACAAGCTTTATCAATTTATGCATATTCGTCTTAATGATAAACACACTTAACTAATTTAAACTATTTTTCACTAAATAAATTTTATTTCTTGACACTTTTTGTCCCATTGATTAAGATGCTAGAGAACACCCTTAACCAATAGTAATATTTTTATGAAAACAAAATTGTATTACTATATGTATTGTTGTGATTCTAACACTAGCTAATGTGATTTAGTTGGTATTATGATCATTGATTAGAGAATTAATGTACATATATGTACTAGTTATCAGTCGGGTCGTAGATAACTTTATTAAATTATTTAGTGATCATATAGGACGTGTTGGATTTAAAATATTTTATTTTACTATATAGCATTTACAATTATATTTTCATGCCAATTCTTAATGATCTAATTTTAAAAAATCTATATCGATGTTATATTATTTACTTTATATATAATATACAGTATAATATATAATAGATATTTCACAGGCTGTTGTAAATATCATGAATTAGTATACTAATTTATAATATTCATGATAAAATATAGTGGATATTGAGCAGTGAATCTTTTACATTATTTACTCTATATAATATTTTGTATTATTTGCAGAATGGGTCTAAATTAAAATACATAATAATAGCTAAAATTTTGGGTCTTTTAATCACATTATTGAAATCTACAAACTCTAATTTAGGCCTAATTTCATAAATCCACTGATATCTTATTTACTCTAGATCTTTTTTTTTTTATGTTTATATTGGATATGTAATTTACAACTTTGGCAAAACTCATATATGTGCTTTTTGTTTTAAAAAAATAAAATCATCTTACCATTAAAAGCCACATAAAATTCATGTAAAATCCATATAAAATCTACAAAAAAATGCACTGATAAATAAAGAAAATAAGTTTTTTAAAAATTTTAAATTATATAAATATACAGTATATAATGATATAAATATAGTTTAATAATTATAAATTATAGTTTACCTCTAATGAGTGCCCACCTGGCATGCTACTGGAAATAGTAAATTAATAATGATAAAAAAATAATTCAGTTTTAAAAATTACCTATAATAATATAATAAAAATAAAAAATAATATAATAATATTAGTAAGTATTAGCATTAGTATTAATATTGTATATATATAAGTCTTATAGATAAAAAAAAAAGAAAATTTTTGTCTCTTTTTATATTTAACAAAAATCTAAGATCATCTAATTTTTTACAAACCAAACTAAGCCTATACTTGTTTTATTAGTTTTTCTCAATCTTTTTATATGATATTAAAATTCATTTTGTTAAAGGCTTAGATATAAATTAATTTGATAAATGGCTCTGCTTAATAAAATAGTTTACAAAGATATGTAAATTGAACAAACCTTATTATATATAGTGGCTTTATTAATAACTTTTAATATTACTAAACTAAAGTAATAAATATAATCAGTTTTGATCTAATTTATAATTAAACTGATTTATTCTCTAAAAATAAATATCATAAGAAAGACTAATTAAAATTTGATATTAAAAGTTAAAATTAAAACCAGTCTATAATAAATTTATTTGATATAAAAAAGTTTCTAATTCTTGATATAAAAAAGTTTTTTCTACTATTATATATATCAAGCTTATATAACTACAGTAATAAAATATAAATCAGACTATTTGATATAGCCTGAAAACATTTCAGACTAGGCTTATATTTTTAGACTCATTATTAAATAGGCTAAGCCACAAGCCAGGTTGGGCTTTTTAAAAAAGCTCACAAAGCCCGTTAGCTTAGAATTTAAAATTATATGAATTTTTTACATCTTTGGTTTCTGTGGCTCTGCAAACAACATGAATTTTTGACCATAGTGATAACTGGCTATTTCTAAAACTATGCCAAATTATGTAACCACAAAGCAAAAACTGTAAAAAAAAAGTATCTTTCACATATAACTAAGCCTGTTTAACGTTAATAACATATAGTGCTGTAGTATATTATATATTTTTATAGAGTTTATAAATAAAATTATAAGCCAATACAAGCCAACAAACAAAATAATGAGAGTTTATATTGGAAACTAATAACTATTTATAATATTATGAAATATTTACTGGTGTATGTATATAAGTGCTGTCTATAGTTGTTAAACGAAATCTCGAAATTTCACATTAACAAAAGTTGAAATCTAGTTTTGATTTTTTGTTAATTAAAATCTCAAATGTTGAAATGTCAAAACTGTTGAAAGGTGTCGAAACTAATGCAGTCAGGGGATATACTAAATTAGGAGGTTAGCTAAAGCGGAGCGAGTTTTGATTGTCTACATGTATAATGTCGATCAGTGAATGATTATCTACATTTATGAACAAAGTTTGGTATTTTTTGTATCTTCTAGCAAAGGTTTCTTAATAGCTATATAATTAAACTTGATAAAAATTTTTTTTTCCATTCTACAAGCTTGCAGAATTGGAATAAAAAAATATTTATTGAGTTTGGCCTGATAGTTATTGAGAAACATTTGTTTAAAGTTTAAAAAAATCATCAAAATCTTAAGAGAAATACAAATATGAGTACGATCATGTTTTTAAAATTTAAATAAAATTTTTTTAATAATTACTGAACCAAATTCAATAAAAATTTTTTTATTATAATTCAACAAATTGTAGAATTAAAATAAAAAAATAATCGAATTTAGTTTGGCAGTTGTTAAGGTATATTTATTAAAAGCTAAAAAAATTTTAACCAAGCTTTTCTTAACAGATGTTTCAACTTTAAACAAGATTACTCACATATAACTAATAAAATTTGATCAAAATTTTTTTTATTTAGTTTTATAATCTCAGAATTAAATTAAAAAAATATTGATCGAATTTGATTAGTATGTATTGAGTAATCTTTGTTAAATTTTAGCACCTATAGAAGAGAAGTTGTAGCTAAATTTTTTTAAATATTTCTCAACAACTACTAATCCAAGTTCAATATATTCTTTTGCTTTAATTCTGCAGGCTTGTAGAATTAAAATAAAAAAAAATTCATTGAATTTGGTTTAGTAATTATTGAGAAATTTTTCTATTTAAATTTTAAAAAACATGATCATAACTATATACAGTCGTCCTCCCATACAATCACACAGTTGGGCACATAGTAACTTTTTTTTAAAATGTGCTTATAAAGAGGTTGTGCTTATATAGAGGTTTTTTTCTTATAAATTAAATTATAGTTTGGCCTAAATAAAAATGTGATTACATATGATGTGATTATATGGGAGGTGACTATATGGAGGGACGACTGTATCTGTATTTCTCTTAAGATTTCGATGATTTTTTTTAAACTTTAAACAAACATTTCTCAATAACTACCAGGTCAAACTCAATGAATCTTTTTTATTCCAATTATACAAGCTCGTATAATTAAATAAAAAAATTTTATTAAGTTTAATTACTTAGCTGTTAAGAAACCTTTGCTAAAAGATATAAAAAATACTAAATTCTGTTCGTAAATGTAGATAATCATTCACTGATTGACGTCATGCATATAGACAATCAAAACTCGCTCCGCTTTAGCCGATCTCTAAATTAGGAAATCGGGTTCTAAAATGATCTATATATCAAATCTCGAATTTGATTAGTTCTTGAATATTCTTTGGTCAGCATTCTTCGAGAATTTTTTTATATCAAAATTTATTACTAAAACTCACGAATAAACACATAAATAGAGAGGTGTGGCGACTTAGTGTAGTTGGTTAGTTGTCACCCTTCCAAGTGGCAGGTCTAGAGTTCAAATCCCACAAACGACAATTTTGAAAAATGGATCTGCGTACAGTTAACGGTTGTCGATTATCGGTTGGATCTTAATCTGTAATCTCAGTCACACCATCTAGTAATGGGAGCTTTGGTGCAATAAATCTGAGGAACTGGAATAACCGAAAACCCATTTGGCAAGTCCCGAGTTGGATGTAGCAATGATCTTCAATGGTACTACAGGAGGGCTGAATTCGAACTAGGGCCCGAGATCAGAGAACTGAGCGACCAAGTCCTATGGCGGAGGACACATCAGCCGAACCGCCGGGTTGTCACACCAGAGGAAAAGGGCATACGCTCCGAAAGTATAGATCAAAGGGAGAGCGTCCTTCAGACACCTAAAGCC